ACAGCAATACATGATGTTGGGGGGCAGTGGGGAGGTGATGGTGGTATGTGTGTCCACCCATGTAAATGTGCATGCACTGAACTAGCAGGCTTTTCATGACAATCAAGGTGGATAAGGTCCTACATGGGATCACAAGACCAAAATCAAAATAGGAACCTGAAAGAATGTGAAATATTCAGGCAAAAGTAGAAAAACACAGTCACCAGGCAGGAAAAAACATCCAAATTCAAGGAAAGTAGGACGCTTCATGGAAACTCCAGTTACTAGCACTGCAAGTTCTATGCATCACACCTTATGTATAGAATCTGGCCTCCCCATTGAGGAAGGCCCTAAATGCTAGTAGTTGATTGAGTGATGATCATACGGCACTATCTGGAGGCTTGTTACAGTCAGTTGGAGCCAATAATTGTTCAAATGGTTATATGCTTTTTATTGATATCAATCTCTCCCCCTTTCAATCTAAATTTCCTTCTCTAAGAGTAGCTACACTTTAAATTAAAATTGCTAGAAGAGGGCAATATTTAAACCAAGGAATAAAGTGCATGTGAAAGCATTGGTAGAAGAAACTTTGGGGTGGTAAATCTTACAGGTAATATTTTGCTATCCTGAAAAGGCTTTCCTCCCCTTGATATACCACTTATTCATCGCCAGACTTTTCAAACCACCACTGTTAAGACGATTGGAGAACTGCATGTTCAGCATTACCTAATTTCTTCATAAATCTCTTGCCTTTTAATTAGCTAAGTGGCTATCTGCTGAATTTCCCTGATTTATTGATATCTTTTGAGGGCTGAGGATATGTCCAGATACTTAAGTGATTAAATGTGGATGGAAATGGCACATCACCATAATAATGATAGAAAAGGGAATCGTGACTAAGCATACATAAGGCCTCACAGAGACAAATGTTGACAGCTTCTGAAAAGAGCAGGCTCCAGAGCTGCAAAGAAAACCACACAATCAAGCTAGTTTTTACTCGGAAACCTTCCCAATTCCTCTCACTAGAGATGCTTTCGCATTCGCTGGCTCAGCAGTTCCACAAGAACCATGACCCCCTCAGAATTTACTTTTTCGAAAAGCAGTGGGGAACTGTCGACTGCCACCTAAACTGAAAGGAATCCTGGATTCCGCTTTCACCTTAGCCACCAACTCTGTGTGACCTTGCAAAGGATGTTTCCACTTTTCTGAGACCTCCATTCTTCAACGGTTAATCAAAGGCAATCCCTGCTGAGGACGGTCACCATAATACCATCTTGTAAAACAAAACACTTAGATTTAACAGGACATTATGGAAGTGCTATAAAATGAAAGATGATTGTTTATGTCACAGGACTTTGTTATAAATTGTTAAAGCGCCACCTGCTGGAAACACCACTGATAATACATACCAATTCTCTGAGACGCTGGTATCAGAAAGGTGAGAAACGTTAGATACCTGTCCATAAAAGTGAAACTAGTTTCAAAATGCAAGCAGTGAAAATGGCACCAGCAAAGCCCTCTCTTCTTACAGTGTCACCACAGTCCAATTGCACAATTTATTACCGCCATATAACACTAGAGAACAATCTAGCAACTGGTAAACTGTTCAACAGGGTTGTTTTTTTCAATGGCATGAATATCTACAAAAAACTATTGAAAAATCAATATTGTTCTAATGGGCTGAAAAATAACTTACAGGAGGTTCTCAATTTAAGAATGTGTTGTGTTTCAAAACCTTAATGTACAAGCCAGATGTTTAAAAACACATTGCCCAGGCAGGTTAATCTCCAATCTTGACGAACTTATTTAAACCAGGATGCACAGCTTTGCAGTACGATTATTTAATTGCTGAATGTCATTCACAATATTGCTTCTCTAGAACACTAAATTCTGAGTTGTAACTTGGCATGCCCAGATTGGAACGCCTTTGCCCCTCTCCAGAGGGAACAGACAGGAGAAACCCTAGGATGAAGCGGGGTGGGTGGAAAGAGCAGAGCAGGAAACTTACTACCTACATGTAGCTGCATAAAAAGCCTTACTTTAGGTCAATCTCCGCTTAAATGTCCTGAACTGGGACCAAAGACAAAGTTTATTTAATAAACACCTAACTAATGAAATAAGCAAAGGACTAGAAAGATGGAAAAAGGCTGTTGTTGACCTGGAAGAGCTTAACCTGTGGTGAGAAGGGACAGGTAAACCTGTGGTGAGGAGGGACAGGTAAACGGAAGCACTTCAGTGAGTGCTACAAGGAAGATATGAACAAGGGCCCCAGGTGCCTAAAGAAGAGGGACTCAGCCCAGCTGGCCCGAGTTCGTGAAAGAGATGACATACAGGGCCGGCTGAGTGGCGCGTTGGTTAGGAGCTGGCTTGGGACGCCAGAGGGCCCCGGTTGGGATCCCACATATGAGGGCCAGTAACACTGCCCTCTACAGCTAAGATGCTGAACAACAGCTCAACCTGGAGCTCAGCTGCCGTGAGTCACCGGCGATGGCAGGTGGGTTGCCATGGGCTACCGTGTATGGCCAGCAACCAGCGTGTGTGGCCAGCAACCAGCGTGAGCGGCCAGCAGCCGCAGTGAGCGGCTGTCCAGAAGACGGCGACTGATCTGCCTCGCCGGGGAAGGGCGCAATGATGGTGCCAACTTGGGCCAGTCAAGCAACATCCTCCACAACTAGACTGAAGAACAAAAGGACAGCAACTTGTCTGTTCCCCTTCCCCCAATTCCCCAATAAAAATCTTTAAAAAAAAAAAAAAAGATGACATATAAACTCAGTCTTGACAGACATGTGGGACATTGTCACCTGAGATTCCCTATTCCATCACCATCGCTATATATACAGCTTTGTTCTCAAGCAAAGTATTTTAAGAAATCATCAGTGTATTAATCAAACTGAAAGTCTTCCCAAAAATGCCCAACATTTCAACATAACCTTTTTTCACTCACTGACAACAGTTATTGGTAGGAAATGAAAATCAAACATCAGTCTTAACTGGCCGCAGAGAATGAAAGTTTATTTTGCTCTAAAAAAGGGAAAACATTAAGGTAAATCAGAATTTTAAAATGTTTATTCTGGCAAATGATCTGTGAGCTCCCTCTGAACTCCCCTCCATCCTGGGGTAGCCCCAAATGGATGGGTTTGTTTCACCTCACAGAAGGCATGATTCTGAAAAGCTGGATGTGGAGAAGTCTTGCATATTAAAGTCATTTAAAAACCACAAGGGAACTGGTTAATCAAACAAACCACACAGTGAATGTAGTCCCATGAAATCAAAATCTTTTAATAATATGAACACTTACCCTCAATTTCTTTATTATATTTTTACAAAAAGAAAAAGTTTACATACAGAGTCTTTATAAAGTGGCATACTGATAATTGATACAATGATGTTACTTATTAACACTTTGTATTGAAGACATATCGTAAAAATCTCATGGACATAAACATTTGGTAAAATATTTTTAACAACTGAGAGAGGGTTCCTAGGTTTAATGCACTCCATTTAATGCTTCTATGGTACTCACATTTGTATCTCAGGATTTCTCTAGCGCTGCCCCACCCATTTTCCTGCCATATGCAATCAGTCCCCAGATCTCATCTGTGGCCTGTGGACAATGACAGCCTCAGAAGGACCAAACTCAGAAGCCTCCAACTGAGGAAATCTACTCTCAAGCCACCCTGGACTGCCCCTTCTCCTGATCACCCCACCAGGCCTGGGCAGCCCGCTTTCAGGCCCTGTCCTGAGGCTGGCTCATGCCTGGGTATCCGCCCCATCCTGCTTTCCCACCTGTGTCTCAGAGGCCCCAGAATGGGGCCCACACCTTGTCTCCTGACACTAACAGGTATTGGTCCTCAAACACACAGAAGCACAATCCTGGCCTTGGCTTCTGCTTTATTTTGGTATTTCTACTTTTGATACATTATTTTGAATTCCTTTGTAAAACCTAACCACTGGATCCAGTCCAATGCTATGGAGTGTTTGCCCTGAGACTGATCATTTTCCAAGTGTCCCCTCAGCAGTCAGCAGGCTCTGCTTTATCCTGGTGACGGCTCCCTGTTTCCCAGGAAGGCTCAGGTGTACGTGGGCACCTTCTTCTCTAACTACAAGGCTGCAGAGTGGGTCTCCTGGAGGTTCTCCTCAAGCTTCAGTCCCAGATTGTCGATTCCGGTGCTAGTGATGGATGGCACGCTGCTCTCAGCGGGCTCTGCCGTGCGCGTGGGGGTGGAGCAGTACAGAATAAAGCCCACCATGATGATGGTGAAGGACAGGATGTAGAGCACTGAAAACTAGGAGAGAAGAACAGCTGTGGGTTACGGTCCTTCACATACGCATCTTCGCGTCTCTTTGCCAACTGTGCTTTTAGGGTTACCTTCTCTTAATTTGTTTTCTGAAAGTTGCTTAAGGCGACATTACTGCCCAAAACCCTCCTGTGTGTATCCTGCTGAATGCTCTGACAATGTCACCCCACTCATCAGCCTATTGGCTCCTTGCATCTCTAAGAAATGGAACTTTGTCTTTTTCTGGGATAATCTAGCTGCACCCCACCTTGCACCTAGTCCCACTTAATGAACAGAATAAGAAGTCACCAGGGATACCATGAGAGAGCTCAACTCAGACCCACAGCACAGGTCATAATATTAGTATGAAACAGAGGGACACAGAACCGAAGAAAAAATGTGATTGTACAGATGTGACAACTTGTCAACAACCCCTTGTACACGCTATTCCAATAAAATTCATTTTGTTTAAATTTAATAAATTATCTTGTCTTTGTAGGCAAGTGTTACATAGTAAAATTTATGGCAGACTGAGCAGATTCGGATTTTGAGAGCCGGAAAGAGCCTAACACATCCAGTCTTCAGAAGAATCTGGAACCCAAAAAGGTTACTGGTATAAGGTCCAGTAAGACACCCACAGAAAATGGAGCCCTCTAGGAGGCGTCTCCTGCCCTCTCTTCTCCTAGAAGGACCGACTATGGCAAGAGCTCATTCTAACAGACACACAAGGATGGATCGAGTTCCTGCTGACAGTCCCCAACCTGCCCTCTTTTAGGACTGAAAACAACCATTCAGAGCAAAATACAATGAAGGCAGAATGCCAATTCATCGTGTAGTTTTACTGAAAATGACATTCAGGGGCTGGCAGAGTGGCTCAGTTGGTAAGAGCACGAGCTCTGAACAACAGGGCTGCTGGTTCGATTCCCACATGAGCCAGTAAGCTGCTCCCTCTATAGCTAAGATGGTAAACAACAGCTCGACCTGGAGCTGGGCTGCCATGAGTCGCCAGTGATGGCGTAGGCTGCAGTGGGGCTGCAGTTGGCTGCCGTGAGCCACCGTGAGTGACCAGCAACCAGCATGAGCGGCTGGCAGCTGGTGTGAGCTGCTGTTCAATGGCCGGCAACCTCAGCCGGGAAGAGCGCAATGATCATAATACCAACATGGGCCAGTGAAGCAGCATCCTCCACAACTAGACTGAAGAACAAAAGGACAATAACTTGGCTGTTCCTCTCCCCCAATTCCCCAATAAAATCTTAAAAAAAGAAAGAAAAGAAAAGAACCTTCAGACATAACCCAAAATTTAAATAAATAATACTCTCTATATTTGCTCTTACTTGAATTGAGAATCCATACAAAAGTTCAAGTATTAAGGAAATTAATATTTCTTTTTAACAGCATGAAAAACAAAACACAGAAAGAGAATAGGGAAAGACTGACCAAGAATGGTGTAGTAAAAATTAGGAAAAATATGTAGCACAGTGGTTCTCAACCTTCCTAATGCCTCAACCCCTTAATACAGTTCCTCATGTTGTGGTGACCCCCAACCATACCATTATTTTCGTTGCTACTCTATAACTGTAATTTTGCTGCTGTTATGATTTGTAATGTAAATATCTTTTTGTTTTCCGATGGTCTTAGGCGACCCCTGTGAAAGGGTCGTTCAACCCCCAAAGGGGTCGCGACCCACAGGTTGTAGCATAATTAATGTGTAATTAAATGCCCAGGATCATTTTTTCCCCCTTGGAACAAGCAAACACAGTTTATGAATGGTCCTGATAACCTGATTTTAAAATTAAGAATGGGCATGCTACTTTATTAAAGCCCATAAATATTTATAAATTAGCTTAGATTTCTTTGCATGCCCAATAAAAAGAGTTCTAACCAGGGGACAACAGAAAAACAACAAAACAGAATGGGTTGGGGAAGGAGAAGAGAAAGAAGATGAAAGAGCAAGAAGAAAAAGTAAGATAAGATACATGCCCAAAGGTAGAAAAAAAACAAAAAAGTTTTTTGAAATTAGGTAGATTGCTATTCATCTCCAGCTGGGGGCTTCTGTGGGTCACCACTGGCTTCGATATGTTAATTTTTTACAGATGCTTAATTACTTCTTAAACTTAAACCTTTAGAACTCCTTAAGGGATGGAACGGCCACAGCCCTCCCCAAAGCAGGAAAGCCTTCACTGGACTCAGTGATGATGCAAAGCGAGTGAAATGTTAAGCGGAGCGACCAAACTCATGTCCTACTACTGGTCTTAACTCTTGGATCCAGTGCTCAGCACACTGTCCGGTACATAGCTGGTGTTTAATAATGTTTGTTGAAATAAAAAAATTTAAAAAAAAAGATTCAGAGAATATTAGGGGAAGCTAAAGCTGTTTAGCGTACCCTAAACAGTTTAAGTCAGTTTTATGAAAGTTAATCATGCTCTCCTATACAATGTTCACAGTTATCTGTGGGAAAATCTATATAATTTAAAACATGTCTTATTTGGCTTGGTGGTTTTAGAAGAAAAAATATGTTGTCCCTCTTAAGGCAGGTGATTAAATTGAGGCACCTTTATTAGAAGGAAGAGACTCTGAGAGAATGAGGTAAGTCTCCCAATGAGAGACTCTTACCTTTTTTCTTTTTAAAATTCTACCCTTTAAAATTTCTGTGGCTACTCTGTTTAATAGGTATTTACTCAAGATCAATTCTGAAGGAGATAGAGTCTGACACAGATGAGTGTAGAAATTTTTAAACTTATTTTTCAACTGCCTATTTCAAAAAAAGCAGAGCCAAAGCTACTTTAGATACCATAATTTTAAAAATTGGTGATATATTGGACTTATGATTCTGTCATTTTTTTTTTTGAAGATTTTATTGGGGAATTGGGGGAGGGGAACAGCGCTGGGGAATCTGGGGAAGGGGAACAGACAAGTTGCTGTCCTTTTGTTCTTCAGTGTAGTTGTGGAAGACTTCGCTTCATTGGCCCATGTTGTTATTATCATTGCACTCTTCCCGGGTGAGGCAGATCCGTCGCCAGTCTCCGGATGGCCGTTCACATTGGCTCTTGGCAGCTCACACCAGCTGCCAGCCGCTCACGCTGGCTGCCAACCACACACAGTAGCTTATGGCAGCCCACTGAAGCAGGGGCTGCAGCCTACGCCGTCGCCGGCAACTCACAGCATCCCAGCTCCAGGTCAAGCTGTTGTTCACCATCTTAGCTATAGAGGGCAGTATCACTGGCCCTCATGTGGGATCCAAACCAGGGCCCTACTGCACAGAGCTGGCGTCCCAAGCCAGCTCTTAACCAACGCGCCACTCGGCCAGCCCCTGATTCTGTCTTTAAAAACTGCTTTTAAAATGCTAGGTACCTTTTCTATGCTTGGATTCATTTTCCACCTCTGTTATTTACTCTGAATGAAGATCACAGCAGACCTGCCTTTTGCTCTATAAGTCTGAAACGACCCTAGACCAAAAGCAATAAACCTGACATAAGTTAAGAGTGAATTGCTAGATATGCAGGGACAAGGAAACATAAGGCAAAAGAATTAGAAAGGAATTTATAGTTTGTATGCTCCAATTTTAAGAATAATAGTTTAAAGTCACATGAACAAAAAATGAAACAGAGAAGGGCTTTTTTGTATTAAGAGTAGTTAAAAGGCAAATATTTACATTAGGGAAGTTTATAATCGTTTGATAATAACAAGTGTACTTTACCTTGAAGCTTTTATTGCTTAACCCCTGCTTCCTCCCTGGACGTAATTTTACTTATGAGGGAAAAGTAAAAGTTAAACTACTAACGCTAAATCAGTATGTTTGGTTTAAAAAAAAAAGCACAGTTGAGAGGGGCCATATGTTGTTACACTGCTGAGCTCTGGGGCTTTCTGTGGGTAGGGCAGCTATCAACTGGCCTTGAACTACAGAGTGGAAACACTGCCATCCCCTGGTAGTGGCCATGGGAAATGCAAGCACAGCACCACAGAACAACTCACTTTTAAGGCTGACTTTGTAGCCCTTGGCAATTCTGTTCTAATTGGGGGAAAAAAAAATCTAACCCTGTCAGGATCACTTCTCTGATTCACTTTGACATTTTTTACTTTTTAATGATGCTACTAAAAAGCTAAAACCACTCCTTCAGTCTTAGTTCCAGAATACCTTAACTGGCAAGTTTGTAATAGCTGGTTCCTGTCACATGTAACCTTGCAAGCCAAAAAATGGTTTACACTCCTTAAGCCAAAATTTCTGAGAGCCCACTGAACTAGGCATTGTGAGTTCACAGACAATTCCTGGGAATAGTGCAAATCAGTGCCAAAGATTTCTGCCAGGACACAAAATTTCACAAAGACAAAGAAATGTAGTTGCTGTCCCCCACTGAAACTAAAATTATCAAGTAACAGCGAACATCCTAACTATTTGTTCAAATGACTGTGAGGAATGACAGCAAGCAGGTCAACAAGCATTTATTGAAGGAATACTAAGGAAAGACGGATTTCTAAAGCAGCAGTTCTCAAAATGTGGTCCAAAGACCCTTAAGGGTACCCAAGACCTTTTCAGGAAGTCTGTAAGGTCAAAACTCTTATAATAATAATAATACTCAGATGCCATTTGTGTTTTTCACTTTCATTCTCTTACAAGTTCAAAATGGAATGTTCCAGAGGCTACATGACATGTGAGATCACAAGGCAGAATGAAGAACCAGATGTGACAATCCAGCTCTTTTCTGTTGAGCCATACATTAAAGAGAGTTTCAAAAATGTAAATCAGTGATGTTTTCACTAATTTTTTTTTTATTTTGGGAAATATAGTTTTTTCAAAAAAATATTTTATGCTAACATGAGTTTATTATTTTCTGAATGAGTTAATGAATAATTTTTAAATATCTCAGTTTTAAATTCTAATATGATAAATTCTAATATAATCAGTGACTTGCAGTCCTCAATTTTTAAGCACTGAAAAGGGTCCTGAGAGGCCAGCCGAGTGGCTCAATTGGTTAAGGGTTGGCTTGGGAGCACGTGCTCTGAGCAGCAGGGCCGCCAGTTCGGTTCCCACATGGGCCAGTGACACTGCGCCCTCTACAGCTAAGATGGTGAACAACAGCTCGACCTGGAGCTGGGCTGTTGTGAGTGGCCGGCGACGGCGTAGGCTGCAGCCCCTGCTGCAGTGGGCTGCCGTCCCTGCTTCAGTGGGCTGCCGTGAGCTACCATGAGTGGCCGGCAGCTGGTGAGAGCTGCCGTGAGCTGCCATGAGCTGCCGTCCAATGGCCGGCAACCAACTGCCTCAGCCAGGAAGAGCGCAATGATCATAATACCAACATGAGCGAGTGAAGCAGTGTCCTCCACAACTAGACTGAGGAACAAAAGGAGAGCAACTTGTCTGCTCCCCTCCCCCAATTCCCCAGTAAAATCTTTTAAAAAAAAAAAAGGAGGGGGGGATCCTGAGATCAAAGAGAACTATCCTAAGAGTTTTCAAATTAGCTGTGAAGTACAAAATAAAAAAAAAAATCTACTTCTTTGGTTCTCTCTAATATATGAGGCTTTAACTTGATAAATACATACACTTGAGATTCTCATCTTAATAATGAAAATAGGGAGAAAGGTGCAGTGGAAAGAAGACTGAACGATAAGACTGATAACTAAGATTTCATGTTGACTTCACCACTAGCCAGCTGTTGACTAAGGGTAAGTCACTTAATTGCACATGACCTCCCTGGGCCTTTGTTTGTTTCCCCATCTATAAAATCAGATCTTTTATCCAGCAATTTTCAAGGGCAGGTGTACCTGACTCTCCGGAGATGCTATATTTGCTATTTTGCTTCCTTTGGAGACACTGATCCATTCCCTCCCACCCCACTCATATTGAGAATTACACATGTAACAAGAGCTGTTACTAAGGGAGGAGGTTACACTTGTGAATGCTGTGATGGTGTGGAGGCAGAAAAAATCTGAAAAACCACTAGATTGAATACCTTTAAGGTCCCTTCAGATATAAAGTTATTATCAAACATAGGACCATTCCATCTACTGCATGCATGATAATACAACTATCTCCTTCCCTTCCAGCAGGTACTCCAGATCTTTATCTGTATGCTAGGGCTTTGCAATATACAACTGTACCATTGTCAAATCAACACATTGTTCACCTTAACTTACACCACGTTGTATGTCAATTATATCTCAGCAAAGCTTAGGAGGAGAAAAGGAAAGCTCAGAATACCCAGCCTAGGTTAGATGTTCTCTCCAAGTCAACAGCAGCTCTAGGATTCCTTGTTTATCACCGGGCAACATGCATTAGCATTTCCACACACTAGTGTCCTGGACCATACCAGATAGGAAATCCATTGCATTTCGCCTTTTAGAAAAACCCTAGAAGAGCAATTCTTATTTGGGCCAATTTTCTAATTCAGAAGCAGTAACAAAAGGAGTGAGGACTGTCCAATGAAATTCTTGCCAAACGGATGAGAAGGTTTATTTCTGGGTCTAAAATCTTGAAGAAACCTGTTACTTCTTTTGGACTAAGCAAGTGTTCTTATTTGAATATGATTTCTATTTGCTTACCTTATAGTCAAAGAGAAAGAGTCCAAAGAAAAGGCTGTAGAGATCGGCTGTCAGGATGCCCAGGTTGACAGAAGTAGCACTAGTAACTTTAATTACCAGTGGCATGAAGCTGTACAGGCAAAACATACAGAGGGCAAATGCCACAAACAGCAGGGCTATTAAAAAAATGGAATATCTATTATTATAGGAAGAAATCAGAGGTCAAAAGTGCTTAAGGCATGGCTGCCATATAAAATTCCCTGATCCTTTAACATATTATCTACAAAGCCCCCTTGTTAGCATCAGCATTGCAAATGAGACATAAAAAACTCATAGAAAAAAAAAATAGTGATGCAATGTAGGTAACAGGGTGTTGGATAGTCAAGAAGACAACCTTCACAGGAAGTCTGAGGACTTGAGATGCAAATCTAATTGAGAGCTGGTGTGGCCAAGGTCAGTCTTGTTCAGAATTTCTAGTAAAGAAGGGCTGTTCCTGAAGGTAAAGATTAAGGATTAACTTCTACGGAGGCTCATTTACAAGTTCTGAGAAAACTCAATCTAAGCTACTACAGCTCTCTGTGTATTACTCTGATTTTGCAAAAATGCTTAAATATTATTGAAATGAAGTATTTATTTCTTGATGTGTGTTTTTGACAGAGGAAAGGATACTGACTAAAAAGAATGATTATTTATGTACCATTTATGTAACATACCAATTTTCCAGTCCCAGTGAATGCTGGCAATATCCTTAAATTCCACAAGCAATCTAAGATTAAAACAAGAGATCACAGAGAGATCCACACATTAATTTTCACTACTTTATAAGCATTTTAGTTGCTATATTTCAGATAAGATGAGGAATTATGCTGACTTTTGAATTTTTCTTAAAGTCTAAAAATAACTATCTTTTTAATAAAAATTCCAAAGATTAAAACCAAGGAATCCATAAACATATGTCCGACTCCCTTAGAAGCATTCTTCAATAGTAGTCATCTATAGGAGGAAAACATGACATTATGTTTTCCCTTTGACTAGAAGTTAATATTTTCTGGAAATAATTGAAAAAGGAAGTCTTTACTGGTAATGCCTCTGCCACACATATAAGAAGATGAGGCATAATTCTTGACATTTCAAAAATACTCTAATATAAATTTAGCAAGTTACTGATTTCAAATGTGAATTTGGGGCCAAATAAACAATGAATATTAGTAGTTAGAAAGTAATCATTTTTTAATATATTTGCTTATTTTGTTTTTAAGGAAAAGTTCAGACTCTTACAGCTGTATGCCGCTGATAATTGTTCCAAATAATCCCACCATTCCTAAAAACTCCTGTCTGCTCAGCTTCTTCACGATGTATTCTTCACACACATTAGAAACGGCATAGAGGGAAGCCCCAAGAAGGACCAAGACGTCACCAATGAGCACACCATTAACTACAGGAAGACAAGCCACAAAAAGGGATACATTGTCAATAGGGAAACCTCTCTAGCTGACTTCCAGGGGTTTGTCTGGCTCAAGTTCATTTAAGACTAAGCTTTAATGGATAAAGAAGCCTGACTTCTAGAAGTTTAAAGACTCTATATCTTCTCACTTTCTGGCACAATTCTGCTGTGATTTTTCATATTTTGACTCCTCAAGAGACTAACAGACTAAAAGATGGTCATATATGCCATAATGTAAGGCCTCAGAAAATGATTCTGTGACAAGAGAAATTAATGGAATGTATCGAAGAGAATTAATTGAAAACTGTAGGCAAGGAAGCTAGGTAAGCAAGGTAATTTCTCTCTTAATCGAAGCAGATGTTGAAGTCACTTGCAAATTGGGTGAATTCATTGACCCTATCAAAATTTGATACTATCAATTGTCTAAACTTTGATCTAAAGAATATCAAAATGTTTTCATCTACAGGAGTGACTGAAAAAGAGGTCAATCAGCCAGTGGACACAAAGTCTCTCTGTTTGATTAAAAAAATAAAAAACAACCAAGAATCTATAGTGGGTTTTCCAGTAACTAATTCAAATGTATGGGCCAAAAGATGATTATTGCAAATCTATAAAGAATAGATTTGTTTCGTGAGACAAAACAAAACTTGTGACAAATAGGACCAAGAACTATGGGCAAGTAGGAGCATAAAGAGTGCTTTATGGAAGAGGTTGCAATACCAGAGGCAAGTAAACCTGAAAATAAAATTGAAAAGATGGTTAACAAGTTCATGTTTTCTGCCTTTTAACTAACTTTTATTTGAAAAATAAAAGTGAAAACCTAAGCAAAACTTTTTTTCTGTGACTGAACCAGAAACAAGTAACACAGTCTTACCTGAATTGCCTTCCCTCCCTGCTAATATGTCTGCACCAACCATAGTTCCTACACCCAACAGACAGACAGCCACAGCGATGAAGTGGATCACTCTGTATCTTGCATAAAGAATAAACCAGGAGAAAGCCATCAACACAGGAATCCCAAAGCAATCCAAAAGCTGCATGGAAGGAGAAACAAACAGCTTAAACATCTCCCATTAGCTAGAGCATGGCTAATTGTGTAATAATAGAAGTTAGCATTCAATGAGCATTTCTATTGCCAGCCCTGTTCTAAATGCTTTACCTGAGTTAAGTTATTTAATCCTCAAGCCACCCTATGAGATTAGAACTGCAATCCCCTTTTACACGTGAGGAAAACAAAGGCACAGTGACGTTAAATGAGTTGCCCAAAGTCACATTGTTAAAAGTGAGAGAGACAATTACTGAACCCAGGAATTCTGCCAGGGACCTATGCAATTTACCTCTACACTCCCACCTGTGTTTATCCTTAAATGCAATAGACAAACTCGCCTTCCTGCATGTACACATTCACTCAGTCAACAGTTGTTTAAGCACTTGGCATGGGGGAGACACTAACCAGCTGGAATATAGATAACAAGAGACACAAGCCCTGCCCTCAGGAGCATATGGAAGGCTAGATGGACATAGAATAAACAATCACACAAATAGATATTTAACTGGAAGTGGGCTAAGAGCTACAAAAAAAATACTGGTTATTATGAGAAAGCAAACAGACACCATCTCCTTAACAAAGTATCAATAAACCCCATCGTGTGAGACAGACACTTGCTCACAGCCAATACTCTTGCTCGTCTTCATCATATGCTCCTCCACCACTTATTGATCCTGGGTCCCGAAAATACTTGCTATATCCCCAATATTGCCAGTCTGAAAGGCAGGGGGATTAAGGATGCTGAAATTATAGCAAATCCAAAACCATTTGTACGATTAAAAAAAAAAAACAGATTTCATTCACTCAGTTTGTCACAAATTTCATAAAGTGCATCCAAGGATAAAACATATTCCTTATACTAATAATACTCCTGAAGCTGCTGTTTGTTTGCTCACCCTGTTCTTTTTTAAACCTTGTTCCTGATTCTCTCTGTATCTGTTTAATCTTGGACAAGGTAAGCCCCAAATCTCCAGCAGCCTGTTTGATCCCGTCCACAGTTGTTTACCATTGCCTTTCACTGCAATGTCATTACTGGAGTCCCACACACCCAGTGCAGGAATGGGCACCTTGCCTTGTTATTTATTCCAGCTGCAGAACTCTAATCTCCTAAATGCTTTATCGAGACTGCCTGAATAACAAAGCATTAAACAATGCAAATGATAATAGCCTGTCCCGGAAGAAGCCAGCAGGATCCCAGCAATAATGATTTAACAAAGTCTAAAACACATTACTTAAATGAAAAACATGGAAAGACCCCCTGTCCTCAAACTGTGTCTTAAAAATGAAACTTAAATTTTCTCTCTTTTTAACAATTTTTGGTGGGCAATGAATGGCCATATAAGAGAGCTGTCTATGGGGCGGTAAGAGTTCCAGAGACCTCAGGCCCCTGACCAGCTGTGTGATCTCCCGCAGTGACCCTCTGAGTCAAAATATGAAATGAAGAGATCAGACCAAATGATCTCACAAGTCCCTTCCAACTCTAAAATTCTACAGCTTCTTATCTGACATCTATCACATTCGGTCATTTATCTACATTGAATCTCCTTTCAAAATGTATTCTTAGTGACAGATGTCTTTGATGCTTTCAGTTCCAAGATCACCCAATTTCATCTTTAAAAATTATTGTTGGAGGTTTACAAGTAAAGTAGACATTCAAGGCGGGAGCAGTTAGAAGGCGCCTACTAGACATCTTGGGTAGAAATGGTAGTTTCTAGGCAAAACTTACATCACCATTCCTTTATTAGGTTTATTCTTGCTGGACTGAAAGAAAAATGTTCCTATAAAGCATTACTTTTCAACTCGGTGGAGTTGAGGAAGGCTGATTCAGTTGTCTTAATGTTAGCCAACTATGGGATGGATCATAACACCAACTCACCATTTCTAACAACAAACTGTTTTATAAGTGGAGGTGAAAGTGAGATAAACTCCACTGGCAATTTTAGACTTTACAGTTTAATGAATTTATAACTTTTTGATGCAGTGTTTTTCTTACTATATAAAACAGAGATGTTCTTATTTAATCTCCAAATTTTAGGAATGTGGAAAAATTTTCTGTAGCACAAAGGTACTTCATATGCCATGTTTGAGCAAAACATAAAACAGAACTCTTGTCAGCATCACAGCATCAATTGTCAACTAAATATTTATGCTTATTTTGGTAGAAACTGTTCTAATCTGCTATAGCACTTGCAGTTTAGGACTGATTGACTTGTATACATTTTTACTAATTCCAGGAAACCTTACTCATTAGCACATATGCTCCACTGGAAAACAGCACCCAGCTGTGTTTAGGTTTTTTTCAAGTGAACAGGTTTTCAATAAAATTAGCTTAACTATGAATTCAGATTCTTCTCTTAAAGCTGTAAAATCCATATTGGTCAGAAGGCTCCCTCTTACCTGGACACTGGTTAGAGTCGTGTACTGGTATGCTCTGACAATCAGGTAATTAGCTTCCACATCTGCTAGTCCCAGGAGGATGTACTTCCACCATTTTTTTTTCAAGATATAGAAAAGGTTATCACTGCCTGGTTGAAAGAAATCTGGGTTAGTACATGTTACTTGAAAATGATGCTATGCATGTTAATTTAGGGTTTGCTGTGTATTTTGGATGTGGTCCTCTTATTTTCCATTACTCATAACCCAAATTCCTGCAACAGTTCAGCAGTCAGTTAGATTTTTCTAGTATGAGACCCAAGCTAATAATAATACTCACTTGAGTTGTTGGGAGGTTTCAATGAGTTAATGCCCAATCTAAACAAGTTAGCAAGCAGTTAAGATGATTCCTGGCACAAAAATGTTTGTCAGAAGCTAGTTTTTCCCATTTTTGTGTAGCTAGTGAGAAATAATCATTTTATGATTCTAAAACAAGTTAACCAGCCAGTGATAAAAACGTTAATTCCTTGCCAATTCCTTGTCTGTGTTTCTTTCACAACACAGACTTGATCTCCATGTAATTGATGCTCCTTTTAGCATTCTCCACTTAGCTGGAAATATGTATTTTGGAGAATGAGGTTCTTGGCTTTATTTTTAATATTTTCTCTTAATTTATCAACCACAGGGGGAAAAAAATAAAACCTAACTTGTAATGACATTTACACTTTTTTTATTTTTTGACAACTTCTACTGTTGGTGCTACTTATTTTAATCAACTATTTCAGAGATTATGCATAAATCTCTAATCATTACTTTCACAGAATTCAGAGGTGTCATACTTTTCTAATAACTTTTATAAAAACAGCAATAGCTTCCTGTTTTTATTTTTGCCTCATTTTTTATAATGTCTAGAAGCCAAAACTTTTTATAAAGATAATTTGTTGACATTTGACATACCTGATTGAAATGCCAACATCACTGTATAAATTAGAAACAGCAAGCAATAGTTGATAAAGCTCTGAAGCATTGGGGTGTTCACTTGGTATTTGTCTGCCAAATACTGGCTGGTGATGGCTGTCCCACATATACACAAGGACAACATCTGACCCAGAGCAATTGTTTTCAAAATATTCCTAGAAAATAAAGAAGGAAATCAGAATAATTTGCAAGCAAGTTATACCTTTTGCACAAATGTACAACACACACTATCTTTAGTGCTCAACAAAAAGGGAAATACTAATTATTCCAGGTGGTTCTTTATTTCATTGTATTGCTTACTTCATTATGCACAAAAATTAAAGTGTTAGATTTTGGGAGACTACATTTTTATTCTCTTTTACATTTCTGATTACCCCTCATTACCACAAAACTACATATTCCATTTCATTGACCACCCATTAAGAGATCATTGATTACTTAGCTATGTCATATACTATTGGGTTGTCGGAAAAAGTCATGACATATTTTTTCTATGTTTTTCGTTGCAAAAATGCGTCATGACTTTTCCAACAACCAATATTTGAAGTAAATATGTGTGTGCTGTGTGTGTGTGTGTGTGTGTGTGTGTGTGTGTGTGTGTGTGTGTGGTTTTTTAAAACTCAACTTTAACTCTAGTTTTTAAGTCTTCCTATTCATTAAGTGTTTAACATGTTCTCATCCTTGCATTCTCCCAGAGTCTTGATTTCTTCAACTAGAAGTAGTGGTTTCCAGTGTTACCTGCACGTCAGAATCACAGAGCTTTTCAAAATGCCAACATAAGGCTGCACCTGAGACCAATGACACCATCATCTCTGGGGGCGGGTCCCAGGCATCTGGGATGGTGAAAGTTCCCCAGGTGATTCCAATGTGCGGCCAAGCTTGTGAATTACTGCTCTAGAAGCTGGCACTTTGCGCCACAGAAGAATAAGACTCAGACCCTGCCCTTTGGTATAGTAAGAGAGAGAGGCACCTTAACAACCAACTACAAACTAGCAGAAAGCAAGCTACAAAACAGCACCCTTGTAACAGTGGAGCAAAGTGCTAAGAGCGCACACAGGTGCTGCTGATTAATCCTGAGTAAGGGAATTAGCGGGCAGAGGGTCGTTGGGAAAGGTTTCATGAAAAAGGTGATTTTTCAGGCAGGTTTGGAAGTATATAAAGGGTTTCTAGAGAAAGAAGTAACTAGAACCAAATGCAGAGAGGCACCAACATGCAGTGGTGGGCTCAGGAAACACCAAGTGGCCTCGTGTGCCTGGGACATAAGGACGATAGCAGAAGGTGGGGGGTAAGCAGCCTGGACTAGTAAGTTGGGGCCACATGGTCAAAAGGTTTGAATGGCACACTAAGAAGTGAGATCTTTACGCCATATATGGCTGGGAGGCATGAAGGTTTCTAAACAGAGGGATTTATGAAAATAACTCTGATGGTTACAAGAAAAAGGAATAATGAGAAAGGAATCTAGGCAGAGAAGCCTGTTAGAAGGCTAACATAATGGTCCCAGCCAAAGTGAGATCTGAACTCAAGCCATGCCGGCATGAATGGAAAGTAGAGAATGATGTGAAAGACTCCACAGAGCCTGATAACCCATTACATTTCAGGAGGAGATGCTGAAAATGATCTCTGGGTTTCTAGACTAGGTGACCAGATGGATATGAGGCTACTGACCAGGACAGGGAATACAGGAAGAGATGCAGGTCTGGGCAAGGGGGAAATCGTGGGTTCAATTTGAGAGCAGTAAAAATTGAGGTGGCTGGAACATCAAAGGGAAGAACAATAAGAGGTTTGTGATAGGTGGACTCCAAGACAGCCCCTAATGAATCTGTGACTCCTAGTATTTTTACCCCATGTAATCGCCTCCTCTTGAGCGCGTGGGTAGTATCTGTGACTTGCTTCTAACCATAAGACTACAATAAAAGTAATGGGATGTCATTTCCATGAATATATTACGTAAGGTTATAACTTCTGTCTTGCTAGCCAGCTCTCTCTGTTGATTCTCTTCCTTGCTGGCTCTGATGAAACAAGCTGCCATATAGAGAGACCGACAAGGCAAGAAACTGAGAGTGGCCTCTGGGCAATGACCAGCAGGGAACTGAGGACCTCAGTCCAACACACAACAAGGAAATGAATCCTGACAACATCACCATGAGCTTGGAAGCAGATCCCTCCCCAGTCAGGGCTTCAGATGAGGCCCTAGCCCTGGCCGACACCCTGACTGCAGACTTGTGAGGAGCCCTGAAGCAAAGGGCGGAGCTAAGCCATGCCCATGCCTGATCCATAAAAACTGTGGGATAATATATCTGTGTTGTTTTAAGCCACTAAGTTTGTAGTAATTTGTTACACAGTAATAGATAGCAAATACAAGGTTGAAATTCTGGACTTCAGAAAGTTACACCATAATCTACATATCCTACATATCCAGTACCTGGTATTATACTTTGTTGCCACTTAATAAATATTTGTTGAATGAACGTAAATGGATAAAGAAATTACCAAATATATGGCAACCTCAAGTATAAAACTCTTCCCCACTTTTCCAATAAAGTGCCATAGTCAGAGAAAGACAAATTATGAGAGCGTCATGACACAGAAGCTGAGTGGAAAAACATTTTAAGAAAAAAGATCAATACTATAGTGTCAAAAACTGCAGAGAGAAGTGGCATTATAACTAAAGAGACACAGTTGGACTGGCAAGCTGGAAGTTGCTAGATATCATTGAAGGAAAGCTTTGTGTTAGTGGTAATGCCTAAAGTCAGATTCCAGTGGGCTGAGTGAGTAGAAGTTGAGCAAGCGAATACCAAACATAAATAGCTCGTTTTAATTTATTTATTTTTATTTATTTATTTTTTTAGCTGAGCCATCCTGCCACCTGTTGGCAACTCAGCAGCAGCTCAGCTCAGGCTGGGCATCGAACCACTGTTGCTCAGAGCTCACACTCTTGAGTGAGCTCTTAACCAACTGAGCCACTTGGCCAGCCCCTAAATAGCTCTTTTTTAAATGACGAAAAGGAGAAGGATGGGGAAAGAGTTTGGAGAATAAGCAGTAGTGTTGAGGACAGATTTATTATTATTATCTTGTTAAAGCATCTAGGAAACGTAAAGATGTTTTGGAAATGAGCAGAAGGAAATAAGCGAAAACTTGAAGACTGACAAAAAGGAAATTCAGAGATAATGAAGACAGACAGTTCCTGGAAGGTTCAGGACTAGGATTGAAATATTGCAACTTTTTTTTTTAAATAGACTTTATTAATTTTTTTTTAAAGATTTTATTGGGGAATTGGGGAAGGGAAACAGTGTTGGGGAATTAGGAAAGGGGGACAACCAAGTTGTTGTCCTTCAATGTTAGTTGAGAAGGGTGCAGCTAGCTCAGCTCCATGTCCAGTCACCATCCGGCAGCCCATCGGCAGCTCAAGGCCACTCAGCTCAAGGTGCTGTGTTCAATCTTAGTTGTGGGTGGGCATAGCCCACCATCCCATGCGGGAGTCAAACCAGCAACCTTGTTGTTAGGAGCATGTGCTCTCACCAGTTGAGCCATCCTGCCACATGTTGGCAGCTCAGCTCGGGCGCAGCTCACTGGCCCATGTGGGAATCGAACCGGTGACCCTGTTGCTCAGAGCTTGCGCTCTTAACCAACTGAGCCACTCAGCCGGCCCGCAACTTTTATTTAAAATGTTCTCTGTATAAATACTTCCCTCCAGAGTTTCTCTAAATAAAGTAGAAAATACGAAAACAGGAAAAGACATAGAATATCTAGTCTAAGAGTTTACAATGTACTCTTTTCTCTGGAATATTTGCTTTAGTAATATGCAACTAACCTCAAACAATCCTTGCACAAGGGGAGAAAAAGAAAGGGGAAGTTTGCTGGGTGAGACGACCCTAAATACACTTGTAGGGCATCTACCATGTGCCCACTATGAAGAGACAAAAGTGAATAGGCTCTCTGTGCCTCCAAGGCTTAGAAACCACTGGGGATAATAAGCAGGCATGTAAACTAGTTATGGCACAATCAGACAAGTGTGAATATGGGCTAGTAAAAAAAAAAAAGGCTTCAAGAGTTCGCTGGATGGGCACAGTACAGACAGGCATTCCAAGCAGAATGCAGAGCCTATATCAAAGCACAGAGCCTTTAAACATTCAGATATTTCATGTGGGTTGGGCTAGCTCAGGAGTCAGCAAGCTGCGGCCCTTTGGGTACGTTCCATCTCAACAGTTTGCCGACCCCTAGAAGAGCCAATCCTGTTCCTCACAACAATTTAAAAACTATTTGAAAGCCATAAATATATTTTTACATAATCACCATTATGTAAATAATATCCTTTAAAAATTTTGTAAGTGAAACTATGACAGTTTTATTTTCATTTTCAATTTTACTTCAGAGCCTGAGGCTCGCAAGCCGCAGTTTGCTGACCCCTGGCAGCTCTTCCATCTCAAAAGTCTGCTGACCCTTGGGCTAGCTGCAGCACAGAATATAGGAGAGGAAAACAGCAGCAGATGAGGATGGAAAAGTCAACAGAAGCCAGATCAGGGGGGGCCTTATATATCATGCTCTAAAGCTGGTACCTTCTCTTGCTGGTGAGAAGATCATTGGAATCTTCTAAAGAGGGGGGTGTAAAGTGGTTAGCAAGGCAGAAATGGAGTATTTCTGGGTCCCTAGGTATGTCATAGCATATACGTCAGAGCACATAGCACCCAAAACTTACCCTTAATGTCTAACATGGATACCAATTAAAGAGGATAGTTGACACAGACAGAGGAATCTAGAATAATATCAAGTTTTCTGGATCAGACAACTGGGTAGATAGCAATGTGGTTCATCAAGAAAACAAGAGGAAAAAGCACATTTGGAAGGGAAAATAACTCCATTTTGGACATGCTGGACTTTGTTTAATTACGAAACAGTCAAGAAGAAATGTCCAGGAGGCAGTCTAAAGCTGAGAAAAAGGATTGGGTTTCAGAAATAAGTTTGAGAATTGTAAGCATAAAGGTGGTGGCTGAAGTTGGGATGTAAATAAGATCACTATAACATATGCCTAAAAATTGAAAAGAAATGCAGAAAAAAAGAAACACTCTGGGAAACAACAACATTTAAGGGCTGGAGGAGGAGGAGGAATTACAGACGGAGATGAAGAGGCATGGCAGAGAGGCAGGGAGAGAACAC